TGGCATTAATCTGTCCTCCAGCTCCAACGTTAAAAATCTTGGTGTTATTTTTGATCAGGACATTTAATTCCCCACATTAAAAACGTTAGTAGAACTGCATTCTTCCACCTGCGTAATATCACTAACATTAGAAACATCTTATCTAAAAATGATGCAGAAAAACTGGTCCATGCATTTGTCACGTCTAGACTGGACTATAGCAAAGGTTTATTATCTGGATGTCCAAATACTTCTTTAAAACGTCTTCAGTTGATCCAAAATGCTGCTGCCAGAGTCTTAACTGGAGTTAGTAGGAGAGATCATATCACTCCAGTTTTAGTTTCTCTCCATTGACTCCCTGTCAAATCCAGAATAGAATTCAAAATCTTACTTCTAACCTACAAAGCTCTCAACAACCTGGCTCCATCTTATATTACAGATCTTATTGTTCCATATTTTCCTAACAGAGCACTTCGCTCTCAGACTGCAGGTTTACTTGTGGTTCCTAGAATTTACAAAAACAGAAGGGGAGGCAGATCCTTCAGTTATCAGGCTCCTCTCTTGTGGAACCAACTTCCAATCTCTGTCCGTGAGGCTGACACATTATCCAGTTTTAAAACTAGGCTTAAGACTTTCCTTTTTGATAAATCCTATAGTTAGGGTCGGCTTGGGTTTCCTGAGCTGTCCCTTAGTTATGCTGCTATAGGCTTAGACTGCTGGAGGACAAACTGACCACACTTTTCACTCTGCTACTGTCTTTACTTACTCTGCTCAACTTGTTTAGTATTTGTAATTATTTTTTCTATCCTTAACGTGTTTTTTTGTCTTTCAGCTGCACCTGGACCTATACCTGGACCTATACCTGGACCTACCATTCTGTGTTCGTCTGTCTCTCCTTCCTGTCCTCTCAACCAGCCGGTCAAAGCAGATGGCCGCTTGTCCTGAGCCTGGTTCTGCTGGAGGTTTCTTCCTTTTAAAAAGGGAGTTTTTCTTTCCACTGTCTCCACTGTGCTTGCTCAGGATGGGAGACTGCGTCGAAGCCATGATTCAACTTGTCTGCTGGATTCCTTAGATAGAGAACTTTACTAATTGGCTTTTATGTGAATGTTCCTGTAAAGTGCCCTGAGACAACTTTGTTGTGATTTGGTGCTATATAAATAAACGGGGGCAGCACAGTGGTGCCAGAGCCCTATAAAGAGAGAGTTGCGACACTCTTTGAACTCGCCGATACGCGGTCACGTGGTTCATGCAGCTCCCAGTAGTTCCAAACAGCTCATCCTGTCAGTCAGTTTGAGCAGCTGTTGGCGCAACACAGCACAAGAATCGACTTTTCTTACTTTACCTGATGTCTTTCAGTAATTATTGAGCAGTAACGAACTGATTACTTAACTGATTACTGATTATTTCACAGACTATGCATTTTATCAAAGCATTTTTAGAAGCGGCTGATACATTTATCATTAAATTTTAGAAGGAAACGAGACTGCAAACACATTTGTTAGAAAAAATGTATATGCAATACGATGATCAATATAGACATATCCGTGTTTTATAATGTAAAAAAAAAAGATCAGAGTAACTCCTGTTATAAAGCTGTTTCTGATGTTCTCTGCAGGTTAATGCTGCACCTTGTCCTCCATGCAGCATCATATCTGCTCCAGCTTACCTCAGAACATCTGGATGAATTCTTGAATTCTATAGAAGATATTAATTCAACCTTTATTTAAACAGGTTCGTCCCATTGAGCCACGAGGACTCATTTACAAGAGAGACTGAATATAATTGTTGTATTTGTCTTTTTTTATGGCAACCAAGTACCTGGTAAGTGAGTTGATTGTAGCCTGACAACTATTGTAAAATTGTAATTCATTGATTAAAATATAGGCAGCACGGTGGTGCAACTGGTAGAGCTGCTGCCTCTCAGCGAGCAGGTCCCTGGTTCAAACCCCGGTCCGGGGGCCTTTCTGGGTGGAGTTTGCATGTTCTCTCCATGCATGCGTGGGTTTTCTCCGGGTACTCCGGTTTCCTCCCACAGACCAAAAACATGCATGTTAGGCTGATTGGTAACTCTAAATTGTCCCTAGATGTGAGTGAGAGAGTGAATGGTTGTTTGTCTCGTTTGTCTCTATGTGTCCCTGTGATGGACTTGCGACCCGTCCAGGGTGTACCCCGCCCCTCGCACAGTGATTGCTGGACATGGGCACCGACGACCCCCGTGACCCAAAATGGAATAAACGGGTAAAGATAATGGATGGATGGATGATTAAAATGTTCATTTAAATGAAACTGTTTCTAGTTAAAATCATAACGATGACAAAATAAGTGTTAACTGTGCAAAAATAAAATTCCAAACAATTTATTATAACATATGTAAAGCAAGCTTTAATAAAGTACTTTTACTGACATTTATACAGTTTATTAATGACATCATCTCAATTCAGCAGGAGCACCATCATCATCATCACAACAACACAAAGTGAGAGCTGTAAATTTAATCTGCACAAACATTTTCAATCAGGGCTCAAAATGTTGAACTGTCAAAGAAATGTGCAAGAAAATAAACTGATGTCACTCTACAGGCACATTTAGAGAGAGGACAGTTCACAGAGACACAGTGAGGACGAGTGAGACAGAGACACAGTGAGGACGAGTGAGACTGAAGGAGGTTCAACCAGTTGTTCATGGACCAGAACCAGATGAGAAGAACAGCAGAACTTCCACTGACCAGTGATCTGACCAGTGATCTGACCAGTGACCTGACCAGTGACCTGACCAGTGACCTGACCAGTGATCTGACCAGTGACCTGACCAGTGATCTGACCAGTGGTCTGACCAGTGACCTGACCAGTGATCTGACCAGTGGTCTGACCAGTGATCACACATGTTGTTCTAAATTAAACTTTGGTACGAACAGTGTTAAATAATTCATGTCATATTTTTATTGAACAATAATCTTCATTCTAACAGTGACGTTGTAATTTCAGAGACTGAGGAAGAAACAGAAATGAGGCGAGTGAGATGAGGGACAGATGAAAATGTGTCCTCAGAGGACGGGGACATGTCAGGATCTGATGATCCAGGATCAACAGGACCAGGAGGATGGATCAACAGGACCAGGAGGATGGATCAACAGGACCAGGAGGATGGATCAACAGGACCAGGAGGATGGATCAACAGGACCAACAGGACCAGGATGATGAATCAACAGGACCAGGAGGATGGATCAACAGGCAGTCAGGGAACAGAGATGAACAACCTGAGGAACAATTAGAACACAAAAAAAAATACATGAGCAGGACAGAAGAAACTCACAGACAAGAAAATTAACTCAGTCCTGAGAAGAAAAATGTTAACAATGGAAAATAAATTGACATATTTTTACAAAAGATCAGATGAAGACAACTGGCATGAAGAAGAACTTCCAGCTCCATCTCAATGTACCTGTGATAGTTTAATAAGTGTTTTGTTACTGTCCTACAGTTTATTGATGCTGATATATTCTTGTAATAATTCTTATTTCTTGTTCTGTCTTGAAAGAGTCTCATCTCAACTTGACCCATGATTACCAAACACTAAACTAATAATATAAAACTAATGTAAATGAACAGTCCTGCAGTAAATACCAACTTTGTGAAGGTTATGGTGTTAAAGTAATTTTATTCAAACATCTTGATTCAGCTGTTATTGATTAATAGAAGACAGAAAATGAGATCTTGTACCTTTGTGATACTTTGAATGCAACATTCAGTTCATGAAGTCATTCTCCTCTGGTTTACCTGGAAAACATGAAAAAATTGACTCATCTCCACAATCACGTTTTTTCTTTAATGATAATGTCACAACTTATGCTGCAGTCTTTGACAAATGATCTATAACTTGAACTAAATGACGTCAGTCTTGTTGTCATGTTGTCATCATCCTTTGTTAAATCAGGTCTCTCTTGTAAATGAGTCTCGAGGCTCAATGGGATTTACCTGTAGAAATAAAGGTTGAACGAATCTCTCAGGAAAAAAAGGACAAATATTTTCTAGTTGAGTTCAGTAACTCGAATTACCATAAATTTAAAAAACACCACCTTTCAAAATTTAAGCAGTAAAAGATATTTTAAAACGCTGAATTAGAAATAGACCCGTTTAAACCGTCATGCTGCAGAGCAGCTGCAGTTAAAACACAACTAGTAATTTAACATGTTTCATTAAAACTGGCGACATGAAGTATTAATGTTGATAAATTGTGGTACAGAACAGTCAGATAACGCTTCACAATAGCAAAAAAGTGTCGCATTTGCATCAACTTACCGGAAAAACACGGAGAATTAACTACGTTCAATGCTGAAACGCTGCTGTTTGGAACTTTTTGCCGCTGCATGACCCACGTGACTTCCACATTCTATTCTTTCTATGGGAGTCTATGGGAGTGTCGCAACTCTCTCTTTATAGGGCTCTGAGTGGTGCAACTGGTAGAGCTGCTGCCTCTCAGTGAGCAGGTCCTTGGTTCAAACCCCGGTCCAGGGGCCTTCTGGGTGGAGTTTGCATGTTCTCTCCGTGCTGTGTGGGATTTTTTCCAGGTATTCTGGTTTCCTCCCACAGACCAAAAACATGCATGTTAGACTGATTGGTAACTCTAAATTGTCCCTAGGTGTGAGCGAGAGAGTGAATGGTTGTTTGTCTCGTTTGTCTCTATGTGTCCCTTTGATGGACTTGCGACCCGTCCAGGGTGTCCCCCGCCCCTCGCACAGTTATTGCTGGACATGGGCACCGGCGACCCCCGTGACCCAAAATGGAAGAAGTGGGTAAAAGATAATGGATGGATGGATAAATAAAATGAATTGAACTGAATTGAATTGAAGTATTGTTTCAATTGTTCTCACTTCTGGGCTAACTCGCAGCATTAATAAGTCAACCCTGGCTAACTGAATGCTGGTTCACTCCATCAGTTTTAAAATCTAAATTCAGACACTTTTGTTCATGTATAATGCTGACTGAGAGATTTAATGTTCTTGTCTTTGCTCTACTTTTCAGGACCTGGGGACCATGGTGAAGCAGTTATCCAGGTTCCTTGATGTTACCTGTGACAAAGTTCAGCTGGAGGTTCTGGTGGAACACTGCAACCAGCTGATTGAGCAGTGCTGCAAGTCTGAGGCGCTCTCTGTTTATAGGGGTGAGTGAGATGGGACATTATAACAAATTTAAGTGCTGGTCTCTTTTAGAATAACAACAAGGTAAGGCTGGCTCCTACCGAACCTGGTGGCTGTCTTTCAGGAGAAAGAGTTGCAATCTGTTAACTGGCACATTAGTGGTTTGAGCCCAGCTTCCTACACCACATGCTGGTATCTTTAGCCCAGTCACTAAAAATGAAGTTAGGTGTCTGTGAATGTGACTTATGTGAAAGCCCTTTGAATGGTCAGAAAGACTAGAAAGTTGCTACAAAAATGCAGTTCATTTAACATTTACATCAGAATTTGAGAGCTCTGACATCAGTAAGTACCAAATCTACAAATATATCTTAAAATTGTTTTTAGGTATAATTTTCAGAGTTGTTAATGTCTGTAAGTTTTAAAACTGTACAACCAGTTTTTAGTCACATCGGTTTGCATTCCTATCTCAGTTCACTGCAGACACTAATGTTTGTCAAAACTGGACAAAGCCCAAGACACCCTGACTTTTGGTCAAAGTTAACAGAAGTCTAATTTAACTTTCATATGGACTAGAATCATAGTTGCCAAGTCCGCTTATTATAAGTGACTTTGCTATTGTTTTTTTCTAAAGTCGCTTGCGAATCTTGTGAGTTGCAGTTTTTCGGGCTTGATTTGAACATGATCAAAGTTGCTTGACTTACTTTCCGAGTGAAAGTAGTTGATTATCTTCCAGCTCCACACAATAAAGCAAAAGACAAGCAGCAGTAGGTAGTTTGTCCCTTCCACGCCTCTGTTTCCCTGTTTATCGCTCCCGCCCAAGTTGGCGAGACGAAAGGTGCACACTCAAACACTCACAAACACTCATACTGTGGCCGACCACTAGGGGGCTCCACTCACAAGCTGATGTCAGGATGTTTTAAAAAATATGTAGAAAAAATGACATATGTAAAATGTATTTTTTATCAGAACTTAAAAGTATGTTATTCAGTGTTTAGCATGATTTTGCTGTTGTTTATGTGTAAACAAAACAACAGTATAAACATGTATGTTTATACTGTTTAAAAATGGCCTCTGTTTTACACAATGTGGTGGGTTGCCAGTTGGGCTTGTTTTGGGCTGTTTTCATAGAGCTGGTTGCTTGTTTCTATCGCAAGATCTGGCAACACCGACTACAATAAAATATCCATCCATCCATCCATTATCTTTACCCGTTTGTTCCAGTTTGGGTCACGGGGGTCGCTGGTGCCCATGTCCAGCAATCACTGTGCGAGGGGCGGGGTACACCCTGGACGGGTCGCAAGTCCATCACAGGGCCACATAGAGACAAACGAGACAAACAACCATTCACTCTCTCACTCACACCTAGGGACAATTTAGAGTTACCAATCAGCCTAACATGCATGTTTTTGGTCTGTGGGAGGAAACCGGAGTACCCGGAGAAAACCCACGCATGCACGGAGAGAACATGCAAACTCCACCCAGAAAGGCCCCTGGACCGGGGTTTGAACCAGGGACCTGCTCGCTGAGAGGCAGCAGCTCTACCAGTTGCACCACCGTGCTGCCCACAATAAAATGTAAAAGACAGAAAATAAAAGTAGGTAGGAAATTAGACTTAAGCATAAATTAAATGTACCAGTAATCAAAAGCACAGCAAATAAAACACACAGAAAGAAGGACTGGGACAAGAAGGAAGTGTAGTTAACCTAACTCATCTACAGAGGCCCAGTCCACACAGAACAGGTCATCAAGTAAAGACAACCATCCATTCTCGTTCACACCCAGGGACAATTTACAGTTGCCAACCTAATATACAGTTGAAACCAGAAAATTACCTTCACTGTATATAAACACAGAACCATTTATCAGTTACAATATAAGATTCAAACGATGCATGAACAGAGGGTGTTGTTTTTAAAAATAAAATCATGCATCAACAGGTGAGCTAGATGGACAAATGTTGCCAACAGAGAAGTAAACGTCAATGTACCTCCTCATGGTGTCTACTTTAGGACCAGACAGGTTTTATAGGAGACTGGAGGAAAGCAGGGATTTGGGCAACGATTTGAGTGTAGAATCATCAGGTCTGTGAGGAGGCAGAGAGAGGTCAGTTTCTTTGCTGAACACTGGGTGAAGATCGTGATTCAACACAAGAATATTTCAGGTGCCAGAACAGGGTGAAGGTGAAGATGTTGTGGCAGAACTCAAACAGCTAACTATTGAAAACTGACATTTTCACGTTGGCGTCAGAAGCTTTTTTAATGTGGAGGGACACTTTGGTGGGGGTAAGGTGTCCTCCCCTAGAACAATTGGAATAAAGTAATGCCATTTCCTGCAATCTGGTGTATTTTAATGGGTTGTTAAACATCTATGTTACCTACATATGCTGTCAAGTAAGGTGCATTTTTTGAAATCAGCTATTGCCAGAATTGTAAAACCAGTCTGTGTCCTCTGAGTGGAGACTGTGTTTGTGTGTAAGGCAAGAGGGCCCCATAAGTGGAAACGTTGGTTACGTACTGTAACCCCAGATTCTATGAGTATAAGCTTCGCCCTTTAAGGCTGTCGCTGATGGGTTATCCCGATATGCGAAGCATTACACTGAAAAAATTTAGTCCACGCCCACCTGCTGTGTGGGCCCTACCCGGTCCGTATAAATTACGTTAACAGCAGGTAATTGGCTCCCAAATAGCTTTTTCTTCAGCCACTTAGGAGCCAGTGAGGCCCGACGCTTAAAGGGCTACGCTTATACTCATAGAATCTGGGGTTACAGTACGTAACCAACGTTCTATTTCGTATAAGCTTTGCCCTTTAAGGCTGTCGCTGATGGGTTAAGGGCGAAGCAGATGTGGTATTTGCCTCACTGGGTCCATTCGAACATCGTATGAAGCAGAAGCTTGCCCAAAAAACGTCTTGTCACTCAGCTCCCCATGTGCGTAATTACGCATTGCGTAATTATGTGTGCCATGCACAGACGCATGTTGTGTTACTATGCATTCTGAATGCATGAACGCCCTGGAAAAAAATTCAACGGGGAGGGAAAATATGCTGAAAAGAGCCATGAACCAACCGGTTATGGCTGAACAGTATGAACAGATTAATAATAACAGGAGAGCTGATTATAATCAAATGAACTGATTGGTGACAATAATCATGAACTGATTAGTGACAGTAGAACCAAAATAACAATCATGACTTGTGACTGATACCAACATCTCACACTGTAATGCATGCAGACAGATGTGAGTTAAACGGAGTTCCATGAAACAACAATATTCATTCTGTAAAACACTAAGGACAGAATGTGTCATGGGACGAGCCGTCACATCACGTAGGTAAAAGCGAATGAATGAGCAGGGTGTTGACCACGCGGCCGCAGTGCAAAATGTCCTGCATTGACATACCGTTATTCAAGGCAGTCGAAGATGCAGTACCCCTGGTCGAGTGCGCCCTGAGGTTGTCAGGAGGCTCTAAATCTGATGCTCTGTAGGCTTCAGAAATGGCCTCACACAGCCATTGTGACAAGCGCTGGGTGGATAACGGTCGACCTGCAGATGCATCTCTATAATGCACAAACAAATGTTGAGTTTGACGCATTGCAGCTGTGCACGCTATGTAACACGTCAATGCCCGCACCGGACAGAGAAGATGGAAAAACAGGGGCCAAGCATTCTCAACAAAGGTTGGTCATCTATACAACTTTCCTTCTTCGTTCTTCTGACAGTGCTATTCGCTCGCTGAAGAAAAATGGGAGTTGATTACCCGCTCTTAACGTAATTTATACGGACCGGGTGGGGCCCACACAGCAGGTGGGCGTGGACTAAATTTTTTCAGTGTAATGCTTCGCATAACGGGATAAACCCATCAGCGACAGCCTTAAAGGGCGAAGCTTATACGAAATAGAACAGATGTGTACTCTCTGCATGTGTGTGAGTTAACAGCTGAGCAACGAGCTTTCTCAGTGAAAGTGCACACATGGAAACTTGGTTTAAATATGTTACAAAACAAATAACAATGATTGTTGTATGATTATTACTTACAACATGATTATTTGAATAATTATATGTGATTATGTTTGATTAAAAGTACATGATTAAGTTGAACAAATTATAAAAGAGTTGTTGGATATTTCTTATCTAGACTGGTCCTATGGTTTTGATCTGCTCAGAGATGGGATTATAATGAAATTATGACCCGTTTCTGACTGGGTTAAACTGGGCAAGCAGCTCTAAGAGTGTCTCCCTGGGATTTCAACATCAGTCAAGGAATAGAGTTTAATCTGCTTGCTACATCACGTAGAAGGCTTTTGAAGCACCGTCTTATATATGGAGTGAGGCCTGGTGAGTGCTAACGCCGTTAGCCGTTGGACCGAGGGAGCCGAGCTACAGCTGTCAGACCTGGGGGTTGTTACAACGGAGACGCGGTCTGCCACCGTTTGGACCTGCGTGCAGCTGGGGCCGAGTGAACCGAGAGACCGCTGTGGGATCTGGGGGTTGTTGCCGCTAGGCCTCAGCTAACACCATAAGCCTGTGAAACTCGTGGCGCTAGATCCTGTGCTTCTGAGAGTTGATATCAACAATCCAGAAGCATCGTGAGTAATGCCGAGCAAACACAAACTAAGGAAACAAGAGTCGGAAAATAATTCAGAAGATATGGAGGAAGTTAAAAACTCTTTGAACTTTATGAGTGCTGAACTGACAAGATTAGCATCTAAGTGTGAACTCCTGACCAGTCTGATTGAGGAAGTGAAACAATTGAAAGAACTGATGATTAATAAAGACAAAAAAATAGCTGAACTGGAACAAAAAGTAGAAGACATGGAACTATACACAAAAATAGACAACTTGGTGATCACTGGACTGGAAGTTAGGAACTGGACATATGCAAGAGTTGTTGCTGATACCAGCACTACAAAAGATGCACCACAGGAAGAACTACAGACTCTGGAGGAGCAAGTAGTGAATTTTTTACAAAACAAAGACATTGACATTGAACATGAGGACATTTCAATCTGTCACACCCTGCCCAA